ACAAGAGCCAGGCAATTACTAGATGTGTTGAATGATTTCTTAATACAGCTTTGAAAAAAAACATACTGTTCAGGGATATAGTCCACGGCCTCAAGAGATTTGTATGTTGCAGAAAATAAACTTTACACTAGCATCTCAGATGGAAAATCATACTAAATCATTGAATAGCATTTTTATATTCAAGCAATTATTTTTGTCTCATAGAAATTTGGCCATATTCTGCATTTTTCTCCTTAAAGATTACTCACTATGTGATATGTGTTGTGGAAGAGTTTTGTCACCCAGATCCTTTTCAGAAAAGGACTGTTGCCCCTAGTGCTGCTGCTGATGCTGACCACATGCCTGGTCTAGCTATCTGTCCTTCAGGTGCCTCCTCAGTGAGAGATGTGGCTGAGGCCACATCCTTTCCATAGTAGCCCACATTCAGTGACTGACCTCCCGTAGGTGCTAAAGCGCAGTCCTTCTCACTCCCGGTGGGACAAATCTGATAAGCCCTATACATTCCAAAACTCCCTGCACACTTGGCCGAGGCTTTGCTGGGCTTGCCTCAATGTTTGACATCTCCCTTTGGGTACTTACTCTTGGTCTCTCCCTTCCCTACTTGGTGGTCCCTCATCAATATCCTTCATATCAAACCATGCTCAACCTCTGCCTTTAAAGATTACAATCTGTGACCATATAGAAATCAGGGGCCCGGGCGCGGTGGCTCATGCCTGTAATCCCAGTACTTTGGGAGGCCGAGGTGGGCGGATCACGAGGTCAAGAGATCAAGACCATCCTGGTCAAAATGGTGAAACCCTGTCTCTACTAAAAATACAAAAAATCAGCTGGGCATGGTGGCGTGTGCCTGTAATCCCAGCTACTCAGGAGGCTGAGGCAGGAGAATTGCCTGAAGCCAGGAGGCGGAGGTTGTGGTGAGCCAAGATCGTGCCATTGCACTCCAGCCTGGGTAACAAGAGCGAAACTCCATCTCAAAAAAAAAAAAAAAAAAAAAAAAAGAAAGAAAGAAAGAAAAAGAAAAAAAAATCAGAAGTGAAAAATGTTTAGAAAATGTGGAAATATGTGGTTTATTTTTCATGTTAGTTTACTGTGTCTAATGTTATGGGGATGTTGATTATTTTTTAAAAGTCTACACATGCTTTCAGATACTTATGTTTTCAAAGCTACACAATGGGGTATAACTTCTATATGCTTCTGCAGCCCCAAGTGCAAATTTGAAAGTGATATTTCAGACTCTGTTGCTATTGCTGTAACCTGGCCTCCAGGGAATCAGGATAGTGGGAGGTGGGTACATCCTCTGTGGTGGTAAAATTGGCTCTGCTGGTACACAGAGTATTATCTTCTTTGTAATTCTTGCAAGGAGAAGATCAAAGGTAGCTCTGATCTTCATCTTAAACCATAGATTATGCGTCAGCCAGGGTTGGCCCGAGATAAGTATCCGATGCGTGGTTAGTCATATGGTGAGTCAGTGTTCTAATCAGGAGTAGAGTTAATAGTTTGGGGTTACTTACTCACCATGCTTAACTTTTATGCACTCCTTCTAGAGGGAAAATGTATGCATTCTTTTGGCATATTTGGTTTTGCTTGCACATCATTATGTTTCTCCTCCCACTACCACAAGAGAAAGATATTAATTGTAGTCAAAAAAAATTTATAAACCTCTGGCAATCTAAAAGTGAGAACAAGTTATCAAAGGGATGTCTGCCTGTGCACTTTTAGAAGTGTAATAGGTCTTTTATAGCTGGGGAAGGACAGAAATGGGGAGATAATGTAGTTCACCTCAGATCATAAGCTAAATGGGTGGTAAAGGTTTGTCTAGAATCCAGATGTAATGGGTAACTTTCACCCACATTATTTAGTCCATCCCATTTAGGCTTCCTTGGTTGACTAGTATTGTCGTAATCAAAAAGACATCTACTCAAAATTCAGTATTCGAATGGTAGTTATTGAGAACTTACTATGTGTCTGGTCCTGTTTTAGGAGTAGGATATACAGCAGTAAATCAGACACTTTTTTTTTCTAATCAAGAAGTTTACTTTCTGGCAAAGATTTTTTCTTCCTGCTGGTGGCCGTTTGCAGCATATGAATAGCAAGATAAGCCTTAAACACACAAGGAAATAAAAAGGACAGTCTTAGCTAGTCTTTTTGTGATTTAATCTAGAACATTTCTCTCTTGGTACTTAGGTCATCAGGGTGGTGTAAGGACTTGCTACTGAATTCATTGTCAGCAATGGTCACAGCATGCCTGAATATTTTGTTGTTGTTGTCGTTGTTGTTAACTATATTTAAAAGTGTTGTACCATTCACTTGCAAATAAACTGTTTTTATCAAAGGAGATTTTGCTTTGGAAGAATTGCAATGGAACTCAGCCATAATTTCATCTAAATTAATGTAACATTTGCATAATAATATTTTAAAGCAATTGCTTGGACCACTTTTTTTTTTTTTTCAGAAGAACTAGCAGGTCACTATTCATAACAACATTTGTTAAATTTTCAAATCATAATGTATTGTCTGTGGTGAGAGGAGCTCAGTAAAGGAGTTAAAGGCATTGTGGACTCCACAGAGCACGGAGCACAATGAGCCCCCAAAAAGTATTTGTTGACAGATATTGTTATTTTATAGCATCCGGTGTATCTCCTTTATATCATTTATTACAATTAGAATTAATCCTATTGAATTACTTCTGAAGAAAGCCCGTGGTTAAGTGGCTAAGAGGGTGGACTCAGAAGACAGTCTAGCAGGGCTCATTCCTGGATTTCTGCTCCCATCACCTACTAGCAATGTATAGCTTTAGACACATTACTAAACTCCTATGTGTCAATTTCTTGAATGTAAAATAAGAATAACATTTTACCTATAGAATTATGATATTTAAATTAGGTAATTTTTGTGACATACTTGGAACAGTGTTCTGTATATAATATTATGTAACTATTTATAAAATGAATAAAAATTTAAAATTTTCCTTTCCTACTAGTCATACCCATAGAAAGCTGAACATATCAGTCTTAGTTACCGATTTTCATCTTCTCATCTTCTGTAGTTATGGTTGCAAGTTGATGTTGTTCAATAAATTATCATTGAATGCATGAATATAGTAAAGTTTTCAGGCCCACACATGGTAAAAAAAAATATCCATCAAGATCATTTGTCATGGTCCTACAGATTCTTCAATAGAATAGTAGGGCTAGTGCTCCTACTGATTCTGTGCACTTTTCTTGTTGCTGCACAAATATTATTTCATTTGACATTACAACAGGCTTAAAATGTAAATATCAAATCTCCACCTCACAGGTGAGGCAACTGATGTTTGAAGAGGTAAAATAACTTATCAAAAGTTTGGACACAATCAAAACCAGGTCCTTTTGATACCAAAGTTCATTTTCTTTCATGCTACACAATCTTACATCAAGAGAGGGTGTTGGCTGATATCAGGTAGGGTAGGCTAAAATTCACAAGGGGAAATTGATAGATGTATGAGAAAAATATTACAAGATGTATTGTATAAAGATTTATCTTTCCAAAGATGTGTCTCCTGGTTTTCCTTCCAGGCAAATATCAAGCCCAATGATTTTAGCAATATTCCACATTACTTACTAACATTTATTTACTGATGTCAATTTATTACAAAAGTAAGGCATAAGTCTGAGGTCACTGTAGTTCAGTTCATAAAATACAATTAAGTAAGTTATTCATATGTTTAAAGTACATGATGAACAAAAACTGCTTATGAAATATTTTACCAATGATAAAGGGAAGACAGCTTGAATCTGATGTAACTCAGGTGCAATAAAACCAAGTCAAAAATCATTACATTCTTAGTCATAAACTATGGTGTGTAAACCATAATGCATAAGACATATGCTCGGATAAGATGAGTTTGGAAAGTGAGGGAAAATGAGCAGAAAGCCTGGAAAACTGTTGGAAACAATGCAAAACTACCCAAGGAATCCTATGATGAAGCTAGGAGTTCGCTGACCCTGGAGAAGTTAAGTAGCAATGTTGCAGGGGGGATGTAATAGACTGCCATGAGCACATCTTATCTGTCCTCCCTGAATTGAGTTTTGTATACTATGAGATTCCATTGTACCAGAATGTCTTATAATTGGACTATGTAGAGTATATTGAGCTGAGGGCAATAAAAAGTATGAGACCCACAAAGATTTTGAAGAAGATTAATATGTCAGCATAAGGTAGCAACCTGATCCACTTTTTACCCCCATTAAATAGCTTTAATTGATTATCATTTCAAAAAATATCTCCAAAAAATAATAGCATGTTTACTCTATCACACCTGGACTTTGAGTGCATTCTACTCTATTTAGAAACATTGTTTTGAATTATTTTTATGCTACAATCACTTCACAAAATCTAAAAGAAGCCAGAGATACTACCAGGGGCAAAGCACACATGCCCTTTGCATCTTGTTTGTCTTATTTATGACTGCATCCATTTTTTTCTGTCTTGTTTATGAAAGTAAAATCTGGTGCTTAGAAGTCATACACTATAGTCAAAAAAAAAAAAAAAAAAAAAAACAAGCAAAAACAAACAAACATAACACCAGACCCTAACTCAAGATTTCAACAAAAAGTAGCAGAACTCTTTCATAGCAAGAAGAGAGCAAGCTTGGCCTTCGGAAATTCTTCTGAATCAACAAAAGAATGTGTGACTGAATCATGTGGCCAAGATGGAATGCAGTGGCAATATAAATTACAGAGAAGATGCATGGCTTTTCATCTCCTGCCTCACCCACAGATGTCTGTGGGATGAAAGTAGTACTCACTGCCAGCCACCCCAGTCCTGCTGTTCTGACACCCTATAATCGTTCGCTGTTTTCATCACCACCCTCATCATCCACTAAGCCTCCTCCTAGGGGTACTTTATTGTACACATTTCACTTTAAAAATTAACTCACTTCACGATTAATTTTGCCTCGAGGATTTCACAACATCCTTTGAGCTCACAGTAACCCTGAGGATATTGTGCAATTGGGGTTGGGACTCTCTTGCCTAAGTTATAACTTTGTGAAAGAAAGCAGGTGAAAGTGGGGGAATTGATCTTGCTTAAAACAATTGACTGGGCACTAAATGAACTACACAGGGGTAAGTTTTAGAGTAACTAATAAATCTAGTAAAACTTTTTACAAGTTATCATTTTTAACATTCATATCTTCTTACAATATTTTTACAGACAGTGTGCTTTTGCTTGCCCTAAGTAAAATAGCGTGTTTGTGTGTGTGTGTTTTTTTCTCTGGGGCATGTCTTCTGTATGCTAATCTGACTCATCATTGTTAATTTAAAATATTATAAATAAGCAAATACATGACTCAATAAATGTGATGAGTAAGGATAAATTGGTGTTTGCCTAGCCAACTCAGACCTACGTTTTAATTAAAAAGCATGTCTCACACGCCATCAATAAGTTTTCAAGTGACCTGTCATAACCAGTTCTAATCGCAAGCATGTCATTCACTCTTTCATAATAAATTGGCAGATTATGCTAATAAAAGAAAGAGAAGGTATCTATTTTATGTGTGCCTGACAAGCCATGCCATTGATTTTATGATTTATGATATGCATTTGGAAAACAAAGAGGGCTAAGGAAAGTTTCATAAACAGAATAAAATGCTACCGGAGAATAATCACTTAGATTAGTTGACAAATAGATGGATAAAAACATCACGAAAATATGCTTTCCTAATGGTCAAACATTCAGGGATTCAGTGTCACATTTTATCTGTATAATGTCACAGCATAAAGGTCTGTGTTAATGGCAGCTACACGTCAATTATTAAGGTTCGATAATTGATTTTTTAAAAAGTATTTGGCTGGAAAAGTCACAAAGATTCAGTTGATTGGGGCTCAAGAATTCTTTGTTCAAGAGAAAAAGAAATCATAATACAAGTTGCTATTAATTACACCAATAAAATTTTAAAAATTACTATATGGCATTGTGTTTTGTTATTTTATGGTCTTTGTCTATGGACAAAATTATTTAGGTTAGTTCACGTTTTTATAGAAAATGAGAGTTTGCATTGGAAATGGGAACTTGGGAGCTCACAGAAAAATCTGGGGTAGACTTGGGATCAGATAAGACATTCTATCTAAATAGGCGGAGTTAAATACACTTTATGTCTTATATTTAAAGCCAAAACTAGTTGTTTGCTTTCAGTAAAAAGATTACGTTTTGTTCTGATGTCCAGTTTCACTAGTTTTGTTATTATGTTTCTACATTGCAAAGCTTTTGATAAAACTAGAAAAGTTAAGTATATTTATGCTATATTATTTATTAATATGAGCAAAAATCAATTTGTGTAAGCTTTGCTCATTTAATAAAATTCAATCAACAATCTTTATCTTGTGTAAAGTAAATGCACATACACATACATATGTATATGCACACGTGCACAAATATGTATACATGCGCATACACACCCCCACACACGCATCCCTAATATCTAAACACAGGTCAATGTTTGTCCAAAATATAACAGATCATCGATTACTTCTAGAAATGTCTGGATATCTTTGTTACACTGATGCTTATCCTACTGGATAAACGCTTGTCTTGTGGTACTCATAGCACTTTGCATCCAGTCATCGTATATTTGGCCACCATTCCAACAGGGTGAAAAGTTAAATGTGTTATTGATTACAAATGGTCTTATTTAGGTAATTTCAAGAATACTAAATGTTATTTTGCCCTCAATTGTTATATATCAGTTAATGGTGAAGTGATATGATTTAAATGCTATACAATGGCTTCATAAGACATTTTTTGTAAACATAATCTCTAGATAAGTTATTAAAATCAGCTAGAATTTGTTGTTTTCAGGTAAAATTGATAGTTTTTAAACCATTCTAAAATAAGACCTTTTGAAAGTTATTCAATATTGTTAGGAAATCTCTTGCTGAATATTTGTGAAATATTAAATAACTTTTGCTAGCATAGTATCCACTCATGTTGCAGGTTACCCTTTCTTGCTTTGGTTTTAATCTCCCCACAAAACTAAAAAAACAACAAAAAAAAATAGTTACAGATTTAAAGTGACATTTGTTTTGCACATGCAAACAATGGGGCTCAGCTGATAAATAAGGATGTGCATGCAGTGCTGTTCCATTCAACAGCAAATTCATTTCTCAACTTCTTTTTTTTTTTTTTTTTTTTGAGACGGAGTTTCGCTCTTGTTACCCAGGCTGGAGTGCAATGGCGCGATCTCGGCTCACCGCAACCTCCGCCTCCTGGGTTCAGGCAATTCTCCTGCCTCAGCCTCCTGAGTAGCTGGGACTACAGGCACACGCCACCATGCCCAGCACATTTTTTGTAGTTTTAGTAGAGACGGGGTTTCACCATGTTGACCAGGATGGTCTTGATCTCTTGACCTTGTGATCCACCCGTCTGGGCCTCCCAAAGTGCTGGGATTACAGGCTTGAGCCACCGCGCCCGGCCAACTTCTTTTTTTAATAAGCAAAATAATCGTTTTAGATAAAATGCAAATTGACGATATACTGTCTGCAACAATTACCAACTAGATTTGCATCCCTGGTAGTAGCCCCTTATTGGTTCCACTGGTTTCCTGGTGGGTACATTTGTGATTCTGGATGAAAGGACTTTCTATGAAAGAATCATTATTGAGTGTTTTTACAAAAGCATTTTTCCTGTTCCGAGTTAGCTCCTCAAAATGCATCTTGGCCACACAACTCTAATGCTGCCTTGTATTTTGACACTTTAAACAACCCCCTCCAGATGCGTCTAGAGCCTGAAATTAGGTTTGTTTTTCTCTGTTTATTTCAACCACGAAAATAATAAGTGATATTATTAACTGGCCTGAAATATGAGCCTGTAAAAACTATGTGGCATTAACAGAATTCTACAGTGCAAAAGTACAAAGAAGACTCAATAAGGGCAAAGGAGAGCAATCATTTGCTTCAGCCTTGCATTATGTTGAACTTTGGTGGAATGGATCCAAGATGGAATTAAATCCAAATGTTTCCTGGTTTCCTCCATCTTAATAGCCTCATATTTCCTTCTATTTCATCTCATCCACAGTGTTCACATTTAAAATTGTCATCTTTGAAAACACTGAACATATTTATGGCATGTCTGCTTCCTGATATATATTCTGATTTATCATACTATCATAGTTGCTAGATGATAAAAGAGATTTCGGATTTATATACAACATGGAAATTTAAATTAGGGAGGAAATGTGACTGTATCATGACAACTTCAAAATAAATCTTCCCTCTTACTCTCAAAGATATGACAATATTTGTAAAGCTATTTTTCCTGACCTCTATAATATGCTTAGCCATTAAATTGAAGAAACCTATCAAGTTGTCCAAGTTCATGATATAAAAACAATAAAAAAGGAGGATAAAAACACAAAAATAGAGCTGGGCGTGGTGGCTCAAGCCTGTAATCCCAGCACTTTGGGAGGCCAAGGCGGGTGGATCACAAGGTCAAGAGATTGAGACCATCCTGGTCAACATGGTGAAACCCTGTCTCTACTAAAAATACAAAACATTAGCTGGGCATGGTGGTGCGCACCTGTAATCCCAGCTACTCAGGAGGTTGAGGCAGGAGAATTGCCTGA